ACACACACACACACACACACACACACACACACACACACACACACACGTTGTGTTTCCATCACATCTGGGGACTTTACATTAACTTACATTTATTTCCTGGAGACTTATCCTGACCCCACCCATCACAAGTCCCTGCCTGAACCTAACCCAAACCTTATCCTAAACCTAACCTTACCCTAACCCTGACTCAAGCCTTCACCCTAAAATTTAATGATTTTCCTTGCAATTTGTCCCCATAAAGTAGGCGAGACCTCACAACGTTTGTAAACAGATTTGTGTCCCCACAACAATAAATAATACACGTCCACACACACACACAATTACTTTACCAACTGACCCCTGAGCGCCCAAGTGTCCCTGAAACCTGATTCAGGGATCCGCTACTTCACTGTCACTCCCCGAGAGCGCGCTGTCCTCACTTTCTGAGGACAGAAAATGCACATTCCCTTGGTTTCCTTCAATAAAAGGTTTTTACGTCCGTGTCCTGTAATCACCAGTAGATTGTAAAGTAAAAAACATTGACTATGATCATATAAATGCACACAAACACATCTCTACACACATATGCTAGTGCATTTTATTGCCTGAAAAAAAACTAGGCTAACTGCACAGTGTTGCCTTGAGGCAACAAATGAAAATTAAGTTTTACTGTATAAATAAATTTTAAAAAGTAGAACAAACAATCAAATATGCTTCTTAACATATTCATGCACATACAAATATTTTTATATACATTTATTTCACTATAAACATGTAAAATAGTGATCTTTATCTTACCTCCTAATGGGGATGCCTCTCATGTACTGCAGCTTGCAGAAAGGGACCCCCCCCCCAAATGAAAGTCACACCACCTTCAATTCATCATTTTATTGGAAAGAGATGTGCCTGGTAGCATTAGTTGAGGAGAAAAAAAAAAAAACGTTTTTTTTTTCTTTTTTGTGAGGCATGAAAATGTGGTTTGCTGCCTTAGGGCAACACTACGCAGTAGAGGGTTAGGACGAAGTACCGAAAACATCAGTATTTTTTGCATCATCAGCTAAATGCATGCAAGTTTCAGTGCTAATGTGATGCAGTCTTAGCGGCTACAGCGTTACAGCTGGGCTTCATCCACGATGTTGGTAACAACTTTCACATATAAAGCATACTGGCCCAGCAGAGAGTCTGTATAACGCAACATGCTGTAAATAAAGAATCGGTGAAAGCTCAAGACTCTAAACATGACTTGCTCCCATCTAGTTTATGTATTCAGCATAAGTTACCATGGTGATTTTTCCTGGTGAAAAGAGAGCCACCTTGATAGAAGGTAGAAGAAAACAGACTTTAAGCTCTACATAGCGTTGTAGCACACATCTTTGGTGTTGTGTTTAAGAATTTTCAATCAGAAAATATTGACAAATTTTGTAAGAAAAAAACAAAACATAAATTTGTTATTTTAAAATAAGTAAAGTACTGAAAAAAGGTTATTGAGAGATACTAGAGAACTATGTAGATAAATATACTGAAAATGACTAAAGTTCATCATATACATTTAATAAAGAAACATTGTTTTATAAGAGTCATTTCTTAGCTTTTATTCATTCATATCAAATAGCTTTATGTTTCAGGGAAACTTCTCCATGTGCCAAGAATCAGCCACATTAAGTGGAAGAAAATATGTCACAATGACTGATCTTCTTTCCCATGACAACCAGGTTTGATTTGATTTGATTTGATTGAATCTTTATTTTGAACATGTTGAAAAAGTACAACAAAATAGAATTAAAAGAGACAAATGAACAAAGCAAAACAAA